CTGGTGGGTGCCAGGGAGCTGCGCATGCTCCATGCTGGAACCAGGAGACGGAAGGTAGAAGATGTGCCTCGCGGGGCGGCCGATGCCAGCGATGGACTCCAGCGCCGTCACTCCAGGCGGGGTCTTTGCTGACCCAGCAAGGAAAGGTTGGCACTCTTACACTAATCCTAGACGCCCTAGAGGTTGCTGGTGTCCCTAGATATTCCCACCTTCTATAAACCATCGGATAAAGGAAGGGATTCTTTGAGTGTGAGACCTGCTCTGGGGACCCAATTCTTTCTCTGCAATAGATGGAGTGAGGTTTGGGAAAGGCATCTATCTGCTGGCCATTGGAACCTCCTTGCCATCTCTTATTCATTCGTTCTTTTTTTTGGGGGGGGGTCACACCCGGCAATGCACAGGGGTTACTCCTGATTCATGCACTCAGGAATCACTCCTGGCGGTCCTCAGGGGACCATATGGGATGCTGGGAATCGAACCTGGGTTGGCCGCGTGCAAGGCAAACGCCCTACCCGCTGTGCTATTGCTCCAGCCCCTCATTCATTCTTTAGGATTGGTGTGGCCTGCCCGGAGCAACACTGCCACATGGGTTTTGTGTGTGTGTGTGTGTGTGTGTGTGTGTGGTGAATGGACACTCTTTGAGCCCTCCACTTATCAGCTAAGCTGCTAAGGAGAAAGATGCCTTGCGGGGAAATTTTTGTGCAGGAGCCAAAGGTTAACAAGGGCTAGAAAGCCAGCAGGCTGAGCTGGGTGCAGCTCTGCTTTGTTTGTGGCAATGCTTTGCAGTTGCCTGGCCAGGACCTGTGGGTCACCCAGCACCATAGGGATGGGCCCGCAAGATAAGTGGGAGTAGCCCTTGAGTACTAGCGTTGTGGAAATTCTCACCAACAGCCAGAGAAAAACCAAGCAGTATCTCTGAGAAGTGGGAGGACATACTTTAATTTCACACCGGTGGGGACTCAGCAGAGGCTTGCTCCAAAGACTGGGCCCAGAACAGAGGCGAGAGCATTTTTTTTTTTATAGAATATCTAAAGGGGGATGAAGGCATTTGCAGGCAGCAGGTGGGAGAGTATAGAAGCAGAAATTCTTTTTTTTGTTTGCTTTTATTTTTGCTTTTTGGGTCACACCCGGCGATGCACAGGCGTTACTCCTGGCTCTGCGCTCAGGAATCACTCCTGGCAGTGCTCAGGGGAACATATGGGATGCTGGGAATCGAACCCGGGTCTGCTGCGTGCAAGGCAAACGCCCTACCCGCTGTGCTATTGCTCCAGCCCCCATAGAAGCAGAAATTCTTAAGCATGTTATTTTGTGAAGTAGGGTCTGGACCACCCCAAGGGCATCAGCACATTTGGAGGACATTGCCAGGTTACCAAATGACATGGTGACCATCTCAAGGATATCCCAAATGCACTCCATGGTTAGTCGTGTCTCACAAACTTAGCTGCTCCTTGGCAGCCCCTGCTCTCTGGTGTCAGCCTGTTTGAAATGTGGGCAAAGGTCTATTTTTTCCATTGTCACTAGGTGTGAGGACACCCACCCAGACATAGAGAGGTGAAGAGTTGCTGTGAGGGAGGGGGGAAGAGTTTTGAGGAGACTGGAGGTTATTTCCACAGCAGATGAAACAACACTAAGTCCTTTTTTCCTCTATTAGTTTTAGGAACTACTACTTCCTAGCCTGTCCTGAAGATCTGGTATTCTCATGGGCAGTGGGTAAGGAGATACTAGCACTGTTAGCATTGTCCTCCTGTTGTTCATTGATTTGCTCGAGCAGGCACCAGTAATGTCTCCATTATGAGACTTGTTGTTACTGTTTTTGACATATCAAATGTCAAGGGAAGCTTGCCAGGCTCTGCCGTGAGGGTAGGATACTCTCGGTAGCTTGCTGAGCAATCCGAGAGGGGCGGAGGAATCGAACCCAGGTTGGCCGTGTGCAAGGCAAATGCCCTACCCGCTATGCTATCGCTCCAGCCCAAGGAAACAATAAAACACAAACAAAACACTGTCTTCCCCTTGTTTATCAATTTTGCTCGAGCTGGCCCAGTAACGTCTCCATCGTGAGAATTGTTGTTACTGTGTTTGGCATATGGAATACGTCACAGGGAGCTTGCCAGGCTTTGCCGTAGGGGGGAGATGCTCTCGGTAGATTGCCGGGCTCTCCGAGAGGGGCGGAGGAATCGAACCGGCTCGGCCGGGCTGGCTGCGCACAAGGCAAACGCCCTACCACTGTGCTATTGCCCCAGCCCAAGGAGACAATAAAAATAAAAAATTTACTGGGGTGGGATATAAGTCAAAGTCAAACCTACACCCATAACCCCAGCAATGCAAAAAAACAAAACAAAACAAAAACAAAAACCAAAAAACTAAACCCTTGTGTTGGTTTTGGTTTGGGGACCACACTTGGTGATGCTCAAGGATCACTCCTGGTGGGCTGGGAGAAAATTAAGTAGATTACTTACTGTGTTGGAAATTGTCTTAGTGTTGGGATAGAAGAGAAGGCTGGGGCAAACGAGTAAGGATTGTTTATATTATAGGAGTCATTTAGAAGGGGCCACAGTGGCTAGGATCCTAGCCTTCCTTGCGGCCAACCTTGGTTGGATCCCCAGCACCATATATGATCCTCCCAGCCAGGAGTGACCAGAGTACAGCCATGTGGCCCCAAACAATAGAAAAATAACGACACATCTTGATGAGTAAGGGACTCCGAAAAGCAGGAACCCTAATGTTTTCCTAGTCTTTTTAAAGTTTTGTTTTGGGAGGGGCACACCTGGCAGCTCTTGGTGCGGTGCGGGGATCCCTATCCACGACGCTAACAGGCCACGGATAGCACCCAGGGTCTCACGTATGCAAAGCATGTGCTCAGTGCGGTGGGCCATCTCTGTTATTTTATTTCTGTCCAGTGGGTAGAGGTGGCTAGACACATGCACCAGGTTTTGAGGAAGCCCCTCACGTCGGCAAACCCTAGTTTCAGGCTCCAACACAGCAGGGATCTGGGCAGCCCTGAGTGCAGGGCTTGTCTCTAGTGGGAACGCACTTAGACCTGTCAAAGGTGTCACGCTGGAGGGGCGACCCAGAGGACCCGGCTATGCGGGCTTCCACTCACGCAGAAGGCTGACTGGGGCAGAGCCTAAGGCGAAGGTCTGGTTACACAAATCCGGGCACCAGGAAAGGTGAGATCCACAGACACCGGAAGGCCTGGAGGGGCCACCAGGACTCAGAGCTGCAGGAGCCGGAGTAGGAGCGAGGAATGCCTAGGGGCGCTACTGCGGAGTCTGGAGAGTGGACTGGGCGCGCGGGGGCGTGGCCAGGAGGAGGCGCCGCCGCCGCTCTGCGCACGCGCCCGAGGCCAGGGGCGGGGCCTCACCTCACCTCGCTGTCGCGCCCCGCCCCGCGAACAAATATTTGACATTCCAGCCTTATCTGGGGGCGGGGCCCGAGATGCGCGTCTTCCCGCCTCCCGCCGGGCTTGATTGGCTTAGAGGTTCCGGGGGTGGGGACAGAAGAAGCGCCGGGGTGGGCGGCCCGGAGAGGAGCCTCGCGGGGAAATACCCGTCTGCTCCCCAAAGGGAGCCGCTGATTGTCCCGAGCCGCTGCCAGACGGGTCTGCTTCCCACTCCTCGAACTCGGGTTCCGGTGCAACCACTTTCGTCCCAGGCGCCTCAGTTTCTTTCCCTGCAAATGGGGACACGCTGGGCTGGGGGTTCCGTGGGCACTCGGAGGCACCCCTTCCACACCCGCCTTCCTCGCTCTTCCCATTGTTCGAAGGTCGGGACTCAGCGCCCAGCTTTTCCAAAGTCGGTGCGGCTCCGGTTCAGGCGCCTTCCTCTACGCTCTTCCCTCGGGATTCTTCAGTGTCTCAATCCCCCAAATGGGGACATTCAGAGATGCCCCGGCGGCCCGGAAACGCGGTCCGGGAGTGAAGGACGCTCTCCGCGCTCGGCAGGGAGAAAGGGGCTCCCGCGCTGTCGGTGCGGGACGGAGACGGGAAGGAGGGTTCCAGCCCGCGTGCGCGCCACTCCTTCCCGCGGCGCGCTCGCACCTCCAGATAACAGAGCTCGCGTCCAGCGGGGAGGGCGACCAGAAGCAGGAGTCCCCAGGCCGGGTAGGGGTGACCATCTAGGCCGGGTCGAGAGTGCAGCTCTCGAGAATTGGGGGGAGTGCAGCGGGGCGCATCTTCTCCAGCCCCTGCCGCAGCTCCGAAGTCTGCGCAACTCTGGCGCGCAACCAGCGCGCTTTGGCACCGGGTGCAATTCCTGAGCTGAGCAAAGCCCGGCCTTCGCACCCGTGTGGCCGGGTCCTGCCCTGTGACCTCCGATGACCGATCCCTCGCCGCGCGCCCGCGCGTATACCCACACTCTTGGCTCTAATGACCTCTGCTGGTTCCCGCCGCCTTCTCCCCCAGAGGAATTCTGGTGATCCCCCACGGGCTTCTGCGTGGTACCTGCTAGCACTTCGCCGACCCGCTTGACCCTTTGGTGGCTTGTATCACTCCAGACTCCCTACCGGGATCTCCACAGGCCCCTCGATTGTCTCTCGGTGATTTTCAAAAGCCCTAGGTGACCTCAGTCAGGGACTGCACAAGGCCCGCGGTCTTTGTGGGTTCCCGGGCGGCCTCAAGACCTTAGAGGGGGTAGGGGGTGGACGGGGTCTCCCAGGAATCGGGCAGGACTCGCGGAGCAAGGAAGGGCAGTCCAGGTCCTGAGCGCGCGCCAGGACCCGGGTGCTGGTCTGGTGGTGGTGTTGGGGGTAGGGGTGGCGCGCGCGTCCGGGGCTGGGTCCTGGCGGCCCTCCCCCACGGTTCCCCGGGCTGCCCTCGGTCACGTGGTCGGCGGGCCCGGCAGGTAACTCGCAGAGGAGGCGGGGGCCGGTCCCCGCCCCGCCCCGCCGGCCGCCGCGGGCGGGTCTCTGCAGCTCTCACTGCGCCTGCCGGGCCGCAGGTGCCGCCCCCGACACACGGTGTCCCGCCCAGGCTGCTCCGCGTCCCGTCGGTCGGTGCGTGCGTGCGCCTCGTCGGTCCGCGTGTGCCTGGCCCGGCGCCCCCTTTCCTCTGCGGCCATGACTGCGCCGCCACCCCAGCCCCCGTCGCCGGGCCCGAATCCCGCCGCCGACTCGGCCACCGACCCGGGCCCCAGTCCCGGCGCCCTGGTCGTCCTGTTCGGGGCCACGGCCGGTGCGCTGGGGTCGGACCTCGGCTCCGATGAGACCGACCTGATCCTTCTGGTCTGGCAAGTGGTGGAGCCGCGGAGCCGCCAGGTAGGGCGGCAGAGGGACGCCCGGATTCCCACCCCGGGGAGCGGCGAGAGGCGGGGGCCGCCGGGGCTGACCGGTTTGCCCCGGCCGCTCGCAGGTGGGGACGCTGCACAAGTCGCTGGTTCGCGCCGAGGCGGCCGCCCTGAGCCCGCAGTGCCGGGAGGCGAGCGGCCTGAGCGCCGACAGCCTGGCGCAGGCCGAGCCGCTGGACAAGGTGCTGCAGCAGGTGAGCGCCGCGGTGGGTGCAGGTAGGGCCGCGGCGGCGGGGGCTGCGGGCATTCCTCGGCGGGAGCGGCGGCAGGAGGCGAGGCCTGGCGCGCCGCAGCCAACTGGCCCGGGCGGTAGGACGGGTTTCTGTTGTTTGAAACTTTCGGCGACTCCCGCGTGTGCGTGTGCGTGTGTGCCGGCCGTTCCCAGGGCGTCTGCTCGGCCCTTCCAGGGCTCCACTCCTACTGAGGGGGTGGGGATCCAGGCTTCGAGACCCCTCCCAAACCCCCGGCCGACGCGGGAGTGGGGTTGGGACGCCGCCGGGAACCTGCCCAGGCCAGCTGCCGGAAGCCCAAAGGGCCAGGGCCCCGGGCCCCGCACTTGGCCATAGGTCACGGTGCGTGCGGCCCGCGTCCTCGGCCCACCCACCCGCCGGGGAGACGCTGGAGCGGGGGCGGAGGGCGGTGTCTACCCCCGGGGCAGACGCCGCCAGGTGTAAACTGCTCGTCTAGGCCTGCCCCGGCCAGGCTGGCCAGGCGTGGGCGCTGTCCGGACCCCGCCTGAAGGGCTAGCTGCCTCGCAGAACCGAAGCCCGGGGAGCCTCCTGGCCCCGACTGAAGTGGGGGGCGGGTCCCCCGGCTGTTTTCTTGTTCTTATCTTCGCCCACTGAGCTCACCCGGCGCTGGACTCTCGAGTGTAATGAATCTCAAGTGCTTTACCCGCACAAATTCTTTCATCTTCCAGTTCCATCTGGAACTTTGGAGGTTTCTGATGAGGACATGGAGGCACAAAGCGTGAATCTGAGTGTTCCACCAGGGCTCCGGGGCTAGCCCCCACACGGAGGTATCCCAAGGAGAGCAGGGTGGCCAGGCTCAGCTTGCTAAGTGGCGGACTGGGGTTCGTGGGCCTGGGCTTAGAGCTTCTCTCTGTCCTCCTCGAGCTGGGCTAGAGGCCGGGGGAGGGGCCGGGCAGCTTCAGGAGTGCCACCCCTCTATGAGCAAACAGCTCAGTGCCAGCTGGTCGATAGGGTGTGGGTCAAAGCTCATACTGCCCCTGGCGTCCAGGTGTGGAGTTCTGTCCTTGGGTTTCTCTGCGCCTTGGTTGGTCAAACCTAGAGGCGGGGCTGCCATTGACCGTGAGCAGTCGGGCCTCAGGCAGGACTGGGCCTCCCCCACCTGTCTGACGCCTCCGCCTCCTGGTCAGGGACAGGTTTTACCTGCTTTGCCCCGCCCCTTCCCACCTGCTTGTCCCACTCCACCAGGTGTTTGCTCTGGCTCCTCTCCAGGAGTCTGGAATGGCTGTGATGGGGGCTTGGGTGATGATCTATGATTGCACCCCTTTGCCTGGGAAAGGTGACAGCGCGCCCGGTGGGGGTGGGGGGAGAATGGGGGACCCAGCCGGGCCGGAACGGGCGTGGCTACAGCCGGGGAGAGCTGAACATCTGGCTGAACCAGCTTTGCAGCCTGCCAGCCCTCCCGCCTGCCCCCGCAGCTGTGAGTTTCTCTGTTTCTCTCCCCTTTCTCTGTCCGCAGTTCTCACAGCTGGTGAGCAGGGATGTGGCTCTGCTGGGCGGGGGCTCCTACACGCTCTGCACGGACGGGCAGCAGCTGCTGCGACAGGTCCTGCACCCCGAGGCTTCCAGGAAGGTACGTCACTGACTGAAGGTGCCTCAAAGGGCGAGGCCCCATCCTGCTGGAGGGTAGGAAGGGCAGTTCTGTTCCTCCCTCTTAACCCCTGCTCCTCTGTGCCCCCAGAACTTGGTGCTCCCCGACACCTTCTTCTCCTTCTACGACCTCCGCAGAGAGTTTCATGCCCAGCACCCAGGCACCTGCCCTGCTAGGGACCTCACCGTGGGCGCCATGGCACAGGGTACCTGTGGTCCTGTGGGGCTGGGTGGAGGGGTGGCGGGAGGCTGCGTGAGTAGGGGCGTGCTGGCGGGGCAGGAACACAGACAAGTGTCCCTTATTTGCCCAGTCCCTGGGCGACATGTCTGTGCTGGGGTGCTGTGGGCACGTGCCTGTTTCAGGGCTGGAGACCTATCAGGTGTATAGAACTGGCCCCAGACAGGTGCTTGCTGGGAATTTGCAGCATCTTGTGGGGGACATCTGCCTCCACGTGACTGGGATCAGGGCTCTTGTGGGAGTCTAGTGTCGGGGTCTCCTTACCGTCCTTGCCTCTCTGCCTGCAGACTTGGGGCTAGAGACAGATGCCACTGAGGATGACTTTGGGGTCTGGGAAGTGAAGACAATGGTAGCTGTCATTCTCCACCTACTTGAAGCCCCCAGTGGTAAGGTCCAGCCCTCACTGCTCAGGGTGGGGTCCACACCTGCCTGTTCTTTCCTCAACGGTTCTTACGAGACCATAAGGCCCTCAGCCCAGCCTCCCAGCTTCCTTTTTTTTTTTCTTTTTTGGGGTCACACCCAGCGATGCACAGGGTTTACTCCTGGCTCTGCACTCTTGGCGGTGCTCAGGGGACCATATGGGATGCTGGGAATCGAACCTGGGTCGGCCACGTGCAAGGCAAACGCTCTACCCTCTGTGCTATCTCTCCAGCCCCTCAGCTTCCTCTTTTTGCAGTTTGGTGGGGAGACTCCCTCCACCCGACACTGCTGACCCCCCTGCCGTGTCCTCTCAGGTCAACTGTTCTCGACGCCTGAAGTGATCAAGCAGAAGTATGAGACAGGCCCTTGGTGAGTGTGCGCGCAGGGGTGGGGTGGTAAGAGCTGGACAGCTCTGACCCTCTGTCCGGTCCCCACAGCAGCAAGTCCGACGTGGTGGACAGCGAGACGGTGGTCCGGGCCCGCGGGTTGCCCTGGCAGTCATCAGATCAGGACGTGGCCCGGTTCTTCAAAGGACTCAACATTGCCAGGTTGGTGTGGCCGGCGGGGTGGGTTCAGGAGGGCAAGCCGACCCGAGGCGCTAACATGGTACTGGCTCCACAGGGGTGGGGTAGCACTGTGCCTCAATGCCCAGGGCCGCAGGAACGGCGAGGCCCTCATCCGCTTTGTGGACAGCGAGCAGCGGGACCTAGCACTGCAGAGGCACAAGCACCACATGGGTGTCCGCTACATCGAGGTGGGGCTCTGGGCACGGAGAGGAGCAGGGCAGAGCCGAGCCAGGCCCGAGACCCACGCGCTTTCCCACTGTCCCCGTAGGTATATAAAGCGACGGGAGAGGAGTTTGTCAAGATTGCGGGGGGTGAGTGTCCCCGGCAACACCTGGTTCCCCCGGTTCTGGGCACACCCCCGCCCCCAACACCCCAGGTCTTTCTGTTTTTGTGTCAGCGTTGAGGGAGATATCTTTGGAAGGGAACAGTGACGTCAGTCGGTGACGGCCAGGCCAACTGCCTTTTCTCTCAAAGGTACATCGCTAGAAGTGGCTCGTTTCCTGTCACGGGAAGACCAGGTGATCCTCCGACTGCGAGGACTCCCCTTCTCTGCAGGGCCAGCAGACGTGCTTAGCTTCCTGGGGCCAGAGTGCCCTGTGACTGGGGGTGCCGACGGGCTGCTCTTTGTACGCCACCCCGATGGCCGACCCACTGGCGACGCCTTTGCCCTGTTTGCCTGTGAGGAGCTAGCACAGGCCGCCCTGGGCAGGCACAAGGGCATGCTGGGTAAGCGGTACATCGAACTCTTCCGGAGCACGGCTGCCGAGGTGCAACAGGTGAGCTCCCAGGGCTGCCACCGACCGTGGGCTCCTTCAGGTGCCGACACCGTTCCCTGCGCTCCTGCCCCGTGAGTCTTGACTGGTGTCACTGCCTTCCTTACTAGGTCCTGAACCGCTACGCCTCCAGCCCACTCCTTCCCACCCTGACGCCGCCGCTGCTCCCCATCCCCTTCCCGCTGCCAGCCGGAACCGGGAGGGACTGTGTCCGCCTCCGAGGCCTGCCCTACACAGCCACCATCGAGGACATCCTGAGCTTCATGGGCGAGGCTGCGGCCGACATCCGGCCCCATGGGGTGCACATGGTGCTCAACCAGCAGGTGAGGCTGCCCCCTTCGGTGGGGACAGACAGGCTGGGGCGCGTGGCGCACGCGACAGACTGCTGACTGGACTGTGTGCAGGGCCGGCCCTCGGGAGATGCCTTTATTCAAATGACGTCAGCAGAGCGGGCCCTAGCCGCCACTCAGCGCTGCCATAAGAAAGTGATGAAGGAGCGCTACGTGGAGGTGGTCCCCTGCTCCACAGAGGAGATGAGCCGCGTGCTGATGGGGGGCGCCTTGGGCCGCAGTGGCATGTCCCCCCCACCCTGCAAGTTGCCCTGTAAGTGTCCTAGGGACCGGGAAGGAGGCATGGAGGGATCAGGCTGCCGGCCTCGACACTTCGCACTCTGGGGACTCCTTTCTGGCTGCCCCCACGGGGTAAGGGGTTTCCTACAGATAAGCTTTTCCTTCTGTCTCTAGGCCTCTCTCCGCCCACCTATGCCACCTTCCAGGCCACCCCAACGCTCATTTCTACGGACACAGCAGCTCTGTACCCCTCTCCGGCACTGCTCCCGGCTACCAGGGTGCCTGCTGCCCCCACCCCTGTTGCCTACTACCCGGGAGCAGCCACTCAGCTCTACATGAACTACACTGCGTACTATCCCAGGTACCCGCTGCCGGGCGCCACAGTCCTGTCCCGTCCCGGTTTGGAGCAGGGTTGAAACCTCCTTTCTGGGCCAGAACAGTTAGTGTCTATTAGAGCTTGAATGTCTGTTCCTGTCTGTTCTTGGGTCATACCTGTTAAGTGCTGAGGGGACCACGCAGTGTTGGGGAGTGAGCCTGTACCTCCAATGTGCAAAATAGCTGGCCCTTGGACTTTTTTTTTTTTTTGCTTTTTTTGGGTCACACCCAGTGATGCACAGGGGTTACTCCTGGCTCTGCACTCAGGAATCACTCCTGGCGTTGCTCAGGGGACCAGAAGGGATGCTGGAAATTGAACCTGGGTTGGCCGCGTGCAAGGCAAACGCCCTACCTGCTGTGCTATCACCCCAGCTCCATGGACTCTTATTTTTTTTTTTTCCACACACGCTTAGGACTTACTCCTGGCTCTGCACTCAGGGATCATTCCTGGCAGGGTTTGGAGGACCATAGGGGATGCCAGGGATAGAACCCAGGTTGGCTGCATGAAAGGCAAACGCCCCAGTCACTGTACGATTTTGCTGTGACAAGGGAATGACAGATGTGGACTGGCTAATGCCATCTAAAAGTCGGAGTGAAGACAAAAAACAGCTATAAAAGCAAGGGGATATGAAGAGAAGAAACTAAACACGGGGCAGAGGGAAGCAGGAAGCAGGGTTTGGTCGAGGCCCTAGGTGGGACTGCACTACTAAACCATTGCCTCTCTGCCCCTAGCCCCCCTGTTTCCCCCACCACTGTGGGCTACCTCACTACGCCCTCTGCCGCCCTGGCCTCTGCTCCTGCCTCAGTGCTGTCCCAGCCGGGAGCCCTGGTCCGGATGCAGGGAGTCCCATACACGGCCGGTATGAAAGATCTGCTCAGCGTCTTCCAGGCTTACCAGGTGAGGCGCGGCTGCAGAGCCTGGGGCCGTGGCTTCCCTGGTGCTCCCTGACCTGACCCTCTGTCCTTTCTGCAGCTAGCCCCCGATGATTACACCAGTCTGATGCCTGTTGGTGACCCATCTCGCACTGTGCTACAAGCCCCCAAAGAATGGGTGTGTTTGTAGGTGAGATAGCTAGGAGGTAAGAATTGGCTGATGTCCTCAGCTAACTTCTCTCCTGCATCGAGGACCAGTGACCCAGTGGCTTTTATCTGGCTTGTCGAAGCTCTCAGAAGGCACCGAGGAGTCTCAGCTCCAGCCCCCATCTACTATTCTGCCTGTTCACCTAAACATGATGGCTGACCCTGCAGGAATGCAGGGTTGGGGTGGAATGGTGTGATTCTACTCCCAATGGCTTGATCTGGGCCTCCTGAATGGCACCAGAGAAACTTTGGTCTGTTCTGGCGATTGCCATGCCCATGGATTCAGTGAGGATAGCAGGTCCACAGCACTTCTTTTCTTTTGAAAAATGTAAGCCCTGGTACCCTCAATGTATGATTCCTGGGGGCTTCTGAGTAAAGATCCTGATCTGCTTTTCCCTGTCCCTTCTGGCAAGGGGAAGGAGGCAGAGCACTGGCTTCAGCTTCCGGGATACTCAGACCTCAGGAGACATGTTGTGCCAAGGCTGGTTCTATCAAACTCCCTCCAGCTTCTCACAAGGACTATCAGAGGGCAAAAAACCAGTATTTGATGAACTGGGCTGCAGTATCTCCAAGGGACACTAGGGGGCAGGAGGCCCCCACACAAAAACTCAGGCTTGAATTTTAAAGGGGACCTTCTGCCTAATTTTCATATACACCTTGGACAGGCCAATTGTCCTAAACTCAGCAGACATTGTGGAATATCCTTTGCACCTGTTAGAGGTGTAAAACTAAAGCTTTGGAAATATTTTGGAACTTTCCTGTAAAATAAAGGTTTCTAACCAAGTGGATACATACATATATATATATATATATCTATCTATGTGTGTATACTGTGTATGTGGGCTGGAGCGATAGCACAGCGGGTAGGGCGTTTGCCTTGCACGAGGCTGACCCCGGTTCGATTCCTCCACCCCTCTCGGAGAGCCTGGCAAGCTACCCGTGATATATTCTATATGCCAAACACAGTAACAAGAAGTCTCACAATAGAGATGTTACTGGTGCCCACTTGAGCAAATCGATGAACAATGGGAGGATAGTGCTACAGTGCTACTGTGTGTGTATGAATATAATACATGAACACAAACATTTTTTGGCAACACCCTGTGGTGCTCGGGGGGAGGGGGGATGATATGGGGTGCCAGGGATCAAACTTGGGTTGGCCACATGCAAAGCAAATGTCCTACCACTGTGCTATCATTTCAGCCCCTCCAGTGAGTATTTTAAAAGCTGAAGTGGTCTTCGCTTTGGTCCCCAGGGCAAGGGGTTCCACACCAATCCCAGGCGGACGAAAGTTCAGGCAGATTTCAACAATACTGTTCACCTGTTAACCGTTTATTATTTCAGCACTGTTAACCGAGGAGCTTGAACTGCTGGCTCTTCCCTTTGTGTTTGTGTAAGGAGCACTGTACTCCTATGAAAGGTTTTAAAATACAAAATGTACAAGAAAACACAATCCCAAGTGCTGTAAACATACCTGAGAACCAGTTCCTCAACTGAACATCATCCATTTTCTGAAATACATGGTTGCAATCATCTGAGTCTGAAAGACCCTCTGTTCCGAATATCCCAAATGGGGTTTTACTGCCAGACCCAGCAGACTGGGTGCAGCCCGGGGTGGCAGCACCACATGTGAACCTTCAATCATCCAGTTCCTTTTTTCCAACTTTCTTCAGCTATGTTTCTCTGCGCCTCCAATAAGCAGAAGGCTGATTACCCCATTCTTCCAAGGGGCTGGAGTGCAGGGTGAGGGTGCACACACAGGCCTGGCTGGTTGGTGCTGCTATTAGAAATTTGCATAGTCCATTGGATGTGTGCTTAAATGACACTAGGTTGCACAAAAATTTAAGTTTTTATCTACAAAGCCAAAAAAATAGACTCTTACACCAAAGCTCTTATAAAACTGCTTATATAGTATACAAAGCTCTTTTAAAATTTAACTTTTTATTTTAAATAGGAAAGCATTTCTAGTGCTACAGGCATCAAGGTATTTAAAAGGCATCAAAACTTGGTGCATAGCAACTCTGAACCATAGAGGTTTTTATTCTGGAGGGCAGTAGAGCAACCCCCAAAGTCTTGCAAAAGAAACTTGCAAGAACCCTATGTGAGGCGGCTACGCCAGGGGCAAGAGAGTTGGGGAGAAGGAAATCTGGCCAGGTCTCTGGAGCTCAGGCCAGCCTGTCCCCTGACACACGTCCCCCCACCCACCTGCCCACCCAAAGGAAGCTGTGGGCTTCCGACGATAGGCCCTGAAGCAAGTCTCACTGTTCACACTTGACACAAAGCTCATTTTCAAAATAAATCTAATGACTCACCCAGCTCCAAAGTGAGACCAGAGTAATTTGCAGAATATTTTTCTCTAGTTTGAGGGGGAAGAAATCTAAAACATCATTGGTTTTTTTTAAAGAAAAAAAGGAAGAAAAAAGACCCACCCACAGTGCCTCATCCTGGGTCAATAGCGTCTACCCAACTAGATAAGAAGGGTGTTGAGCAGGGCTAACACCCCCCACACCTCACTCGGCTTCAGTGGAGAGTCCTGGCCCATAATGAAATGACCTGAAATTACATTAAACCTTTGATCAGCCCAGCAACTTCTCTCACATGCAGGTACTCAAAAATTTACATCCTGAAAAAAGGAAAGCAACGTTTCAAAAGGAAAACATAGCCCTGAGGGTTTTTGAACTGGGGTCCCATTAAGATGAGGGGTTTGGGCAGGGTTTGAAAATAGCACCCAATTGGGGCTCTCCTTTGGTTAGAAGGCAGGCTGGAGCTCGTTGCTGGCCCTGCCTTGGGCGCCAGCTCCACCAGCAGCAGCACCAGGGCATCTTTGGTGTAGAGGGTCAGGTCAATGATTCTGGGTCACGCCCGGCGATGTTCAGGGGTTCCTCCTGGCTCTGTACTCAGGAATCACTCCTGGGGGTGCTCAGGGGGCCATATGGGATGCCGGGGATTGAACCCGGGTCAGTTGCGTGCAAGGCAAATGCCCTACCCGCTGATTTTTCTTTTCTTTGTTTAAATAGCCTAAAACCCTTTTAGGGAAAAGTCCAATTTTTAGGCCACACAGACGGGACAGGGAAAGCCAGGATAATTTTAGGCTGTAAACAGAATGAGGGGTTGCCCTTCCAGGCCGGCGTGGGTCTTAAACATGTCCCATCTGAAGTCCTTCATTTTCTCTGCTACTGAGCTGCAGCAATTCTCATTTGTGCTTAGTTCCTGACAGTCTGGCTTCTGGAGACAAGACAGAACCAACAAGGCAGAGGACCCGGATGAGACTGTGGCTTCTAAGGTTAAAGGGCAGCAAACTGTAGCTGCTCCCACTTGGAAAAGATCGGAATCCACAGGATACAAAGAGGAAGAGCACTCAGTAGCCTACTTGTTTGCAGGATGGCAGGAAATAGAAACTCCCGTGCTCACAGCCTGACCCGGAAAAGTCACCTGACCCAAGGCCCTGAGGGGGAAAAGCTACTTCCACGTGGTGTTGGTCATGGAGAGACTGTGGGAAAACTGTACCTAGAAAGTGGCAGAAAGGCTATGCTCTGGAATGTCATTTTCTATTCCAACATTTCAATGATTGGAATGGTCTCTTTTCATTTTACCTACCAATTTACTTTTATAAAGTATGAGCTACATTTGGCTTTATTTCCTATGAGTCTATGAAAGGCTTCAGGACACATGCTGAGTTTCTGAGGCATAGAATGGGCTGAGGGTTTTTTGTTGATGTTTGCCTCTGGAAGATTTTATCAAAAATTCTTATTTTAAAAATATCAAAGCTAAAGGGCCCTTTAAATGACCATAAAGCAGTACAAATCACCAATCCTACCTAAGCAACCAGGTTACCTGCATAAAGCAGCACCTCTGAAATGGAGTCTGCTGCATTTACACTCGAAGCACCCATCATATAAAAGGATCTATTTAAATATAAAAAGCAAAGCTCAAACAGCCTCAGCTGCTCCTGTTCTATAAAATCTACCCAAGGCCTGAGGTGGAGAAACGTTGCATTCCCCACACAATGATCCCAACTTCTGGCATGAGTCCTGAAGGCTGCCGAGTTAGAAACCCAAGGTCCAAGGAGAGAAACATGCTGAGAAGTACATGGTGGTGGACCAAGGCTGTCAGAGCCCATCGGATCTTCCTAAATCCAGGGACTCGGGACCAGGGAGGGGAGGCTGCCTGCTCACCCCTCTTCCTCGGGAAACAGAAATCTGGGACATGTCTCTCCCAATGATCTCGTTCACTGAAAAACAAGAAAAGGGAGTGGGGTTAGTGACTATGTGCGTCAGTGACTGTCAGATGAAGCTCAACTTCAAAGACGTTGTCCCTTTCCACGGTTAGCTATGAAAACAAAGCCAGTGTTCCCGAGGTGAATAGAATTATTTTACATGGTGTTACAGACCCCTTTTTGCCTTCCTTTCTGCTCATACTTACCCTCACACAATTTGTACTCTAGAGCAGAGGATAGGAAAGAGTTCCTTAAGGAGACTTTTCCATTCTTAATTCCTGCAGGGCACCTCATAAATAAATAAGATAAATGACAACAAAAAGTTCGGATGAGATAAACATTGAGACTGGGGGTTAACTTGTGCCCTATACCAACAAGAATCCTTTATTATGTGCTCAGTACTTGTATTATTTCTGGTTCTTTCTAGCATTTTTTCTTATTTTCGGGTGGGAGGTGGGGTGGGGTAGGGAACACACTCAGCGACACTCAGTTATTCCTGTCCCTGTGCTCAGGAATTATTCCTGGCAGTGCTAGGGGGGCCATTTGGGATGCTGGGGATTAAACTCAGGTTGGCTGTCAGCAAGGCAAACACCCTACCTACTGTACTGTCTCTCTAGCCCCTGGGGTCTAGCTTTGCTATTAGTTTCTATGATGTATTAGGCACTTTAAGAGTCTCTCTGAATTAGCTCGTAAGTCACATTTTAAAACATCATAGTCATTAAAAGTGAAGCTTTAAAGAGCCAGAAAGAGCTGGAAAGATAATACGTTGAGTAGGCATTTGCCTTGCAAATGGATGACTTGGGTTCAACCCTAGTATCCTATATGATCCCCCAAGCACTGTCAGAAGTAATTCCTGATTGTAGAGCCCGGAGTAATGCCCAAGCACTGCTGGTCGTGGCCTCCAAAACAAAGAAAAAAACGGGGGGGGATGTCAGAGAGATAGTACAGCAGGTAGGGCACTTGCCTTGCACATGGCCAACCTAGGTTTGATTCCCAGCACCGCATATGATCCGCAGCACCCCATATGGATAACGAGGAGTGATCCCTGAATGGAGAGTCAGTAATAAGCTCTGAGCACTGCTGGGTGTGGCCCCAAAACAACCCCCCCCAGTGTTTTAATTATCATAAAAAACCACATTGGTATACAGTTTTCTTGTCTTTTTGAGGAAAACAATGAAGATGAGGATTTATATCCAATGCTGTCTACCATGTGTAAGTACATTCTGTTTTTGTTTATCTTTTTTTTTTTTTGCTAAACCCTTCCGAAGCACACAGGAGTTACTCCATACTCTGTGTTCAGGGTTGCTCCCAGTACTGTTGGGGGGACACCATGTGGTGACAGGAATTAAACCCAGGTTTGCTGCATGCAAAGCATGTGTTCCAGTCCTTTGAGCCATCTCCCAGCCAAGTGCATTTGATGATCAAGGTTATCTTCTGAAGTACTGGAGCAATAGTACAGGATGTAGGGTGTTTGCTTTGCACGTGGTTGCCCTGGGTTCAATCTCTGGTATCTCTGAGCACCACCAGGAGTGATCCTGAGTGCAGAGTAAAATTCCTAAGCACTGTCAGGTTACCCAAAAAAGTGAAAATGAAATTGCAAGCATTAGTTGGGCTTTTTTATGGTTTGCTTTTTAAAGGGAGGACCTTTGGGCAGGAACCATAGTACAGTACCGGTATGTGTTGCATACAGCTGACCAGGGTTCGATCCCTGGCACCCTATATGGTCCCCTGAACACCTTCAAGAATAATTCCTCAGGAATTACCCTTGAGCACCACCAGGTGTGGCCCCAAAACAAAACAAAAAAGGGAGGGCCTTCCCAAGTGGTGCTTAGGGGGTTCTGGGGACCATGCATTACCATCCTATGCCAACTGGGTGGCTCTTCAGTGCTAGGGCACAAGGATGCAAAATTCCTAATATTCTAAGAAAGACCCAAGTATGATTTATCAAGACTGCTAATAATTTTACCTTTACCTTACATTCTACCACTGAAGGGCTGGAGCGATAGCACAGCGGTAGGGCGTTTGCCTTACACGCAGCCAACATGGCCAACCCGAGTTCGATTCCTCCGCCCCTCTTGGAGAGCCTGGCAAGCTACCGAGAGTATCTCGCCCGCACGGCAGAGCCTGGCAAGCCACCCGTGATGTATTTGATATGCCAAACACAGTAACAACAAAATCTCCAATGGAGATGTTACTGGGCCCGCTCGAGCAAATCGAAGATCAACGGGAGGGCCTTTACTTTTACTTACTTTACTTACCTTACATTATCAAACTGTTTTACTAGACACACTCTTGTTTTGGGGTCACATCCAGTACCCCTTGTATCTCTCCAGCCCTTTATTGATTTATTTAAACCCTAGTTGACAAAGTGTGACGTTTTGTGCTTCCCCCATCAATTCGGCATGAGTACATGCTGTTTTTGCTATTCAATTTAATCAGCCTCTTCCCTTAAAGAGTAAAGGGAACTAAATGTCTAGAACAATGGGGTCGAGTGATAAAACAGTGGGTAAAGCGCTTGCCTTGCACATGGCTGACCCAGGTTTAATCCCTCGCACCCCATATGGTCCCCCGAGCCCTACCAGGAGTGATTCCTGAGCACAGAGCCAGGAGTTATTCCTGAACACCACTGGGTGTTGCACAAAACCATTTCAAAACAGAATACGAGCCTGGAACAAGATTCACCCCCCACCCCATGTTTATACATGTAGGTCACAGTATGTAGCCTACTGTGCAGTCACATTCCTCAAGTCCTACCATCCTAACACCTGGATTGTCTGTGTAGTCACAACAGAAGCAGAATCAATAGCATTATTTGCCAAAAGTTTATCGAAGAACTATTGTGTTATTCCAATGGAATACTAATTCTATTCACAAGAATGAGCTACCAGAGCAACTACAGCTTCCTGAAGGGTTCAGGCTGAGGATGCGCATGCATGATATTGTATGGAACTCTACACCAAGAGGTGAGAAAATGGCAAGACAGGGCACCACCTCTTGAGTAGGCAGATACACACTGCCGGTACGCAAGAGCCCAAAGGGCTGTGTAAGGAACATCTTAACATCTTAGCCTTTTTGTAAAGGATTTTTGGGTATAGGATATTTCACTTAATATGCCATTTCATCTTGAAACTGCAGTGGACATTCATCAATGTTTGGCAAATTATCAATGTTTGGCAAATTCACCTTTTCCTTTCCCTAGAGCCAAAGAGTAAAGATATAATTAATTTTCTCGGTGAACAGTTTTATGAAGAAAATTTTGAAGGAATAATAAATATGTGGGGAATTGCCTTCCACACAGCCGGCCGGGCAAACCAGGGTTCGATTCCTCGGCCCTTCTCAGAGAGCCCGGCAAGCTACCGAGAGTATCTCGCCTACACTGCAAAGCCTGGCAAACTACCCGAGACTTACTGGATGTGCCAAACACAGTAACGACAAGTCTCACAATGGAGATGTTACTGGGCCCGCTTAAGCAAATCGATGAACAACGGGAGGACAGAGCTACAGTGCTAATAAATATGTAAATTAAGGAGCAGAAATGACTTTGAAAGAGATATTACTTTATGTTCATTACTCTGCAGCATTTTGCTAAGATTTATGCCATCTAAAATTAAATACAAGAAAGTGAGTTTCCCTGTTTGAGGCATTAACTCAAAAATTAACTTTCATTAATAAAATTTAATTTGCCACCCCAAAAGATAAAAATAAATGCCTATCTGAGGCTTGTAAATGTTATTCTTCCTGGGTAACTATTCTTCCTGGGTAACCAGTCACATGGCCCCTCAGCTAAACTTCGTATTTCCTAGTTTTCCCCTGGTAGCCATGTATGGCTATCTAGAATTTTTTTCTCCAATAAAATGTGAGCAAAAGAGAGGTTTGTTTCTCTCTCATTACTTGCTGGATGACCCCTTCCCTCACACTTGCTTTGGCTAAGATGACACGGATTTGTCATTATTAAGGAGATGAAAGAACAGATAAAAACAAGAAAGTGAAAGGAGCCTGGAGCTTTGAATTCCAGGAATTAAGGAGAGAAATTTGTGGCTGAGCCACTCTGTCTTGGGACCTCCCTATAGAAACATTAAAATAAAAACAAACCTCACCATCATAAAAGTAGCACATTAAAAATATTTAACTATTTTTTTTTTAAATTATTTAACTATTTTAACAAGAACTAAGATAACAAGCTTGAGATCTATTATGCCAAGTTTATTGTGAGTAGACTGTTTGGGGGGGGTGTGTGTTTGTGTGTGTAGGGCCTTGTAACACTACAATGGATTTCCCAGGAGTGATGAGAGAGACAGAGAGAGAGAGAGAGAGAGAGAGAGAGACAGAGACAGAGACAGAGACAGACAGACAGAGAGAGACAGAGAGACAGAGAGAGAGTGCAGGGCCTTATAACACTACATTGGATTTCCCAGGCATCTCAGTGTCAAGCGTATGTAAGACCAGTCCTACCAGGTGTGGCCCCAAACCAAACAAACAAACAAGACTTAGATAGTGAGTGGGCATGATTTTAAAGTCTCCTTCCAAATCTAACTTCATGTAAACGAAATTCAAATGACGTCCTGAGAATTACAATTTGTATGTTTTTAATTTCTATCAGATACTTTCTCATGTGAGTCTAAGGGTACAACCAAAGAAGATCTGTGACAGGGTGGGGTGTGAATCAGCGTTGGGGTAAAGAGGTAGAAGGCCCAGCTCTCTCCTTCAGAAACGCTCACTCCACCTCCGCAGATTCCTTCCAAATAAAGTCCCAGAAGAACTATGAGCAGTGTGAACAGGGCCTTTAGGAAAGGTCAAAGGTCGCCTCTGCCAAATGTTTAAAACTTCCTAACTTATTTCATTCCATAATGGCTCATGAAGAGAAACTGACCAGAGGGTTAGGGATGTGACTCAGCAGTACATGTGTGCCTTGTATTTGTGAGGCCTTGGGTTGGATCTCTGGTAGTGCAAAAACAAGCAAGCAAGCAAACAAACAAACAAAATACCCCCTAAAACCCCCCAAACCAAAAACAACC